TTGTCTCCCTTGCTTTGGCCCAGCAGAGCCTAAGCACTGTGCTATCCTGGAGGGGCTTTGGACCACTGGAGAAACTGAGAGCATAGAGAGGATGAGGCCGTACCCATCAGCAATAAAGTTGATCGCAGGGATTGCTTTGGTTTTTCTTTTTTTTTTTTTTTTTTAAAAAAAACCTGTCTCTGTGTCTATTTGAACAGCCTTGCTCCTACCAGTCCTGAGTCTACCAAGTGAGAGAAACAGAGTGGTCATGCCTACCATCTCTTTCCTTTCCTCCATCTGCATTATTAGTGTCCTTTGGGGACTTGGATCTGGTGTTAGGCCATACAGTTGGGCAGTGGGAAGCTCCTCTTCCCTTATATCTTTAAAGCTGGTTGGTTCCCTGACTCTTCCTTACACTCACATGGCCTTTTTTTTTTTGTATCTTGAGTATTAGGGGTAGAAGGGCATGGGCATAGGAATAGGGTAACCTCACCCCATACACCCACACCTTCAGCCATGTCCTCCCTGACTTGGCTGTTGTATATAGAGTAAAAAACAAGGGTTTTTGATTTGTACCTCAGAGAAGAACATAACTTCATCTTTCCAGAGGCTATCAGTTCCTTGAATAGCCCCCTGGTTTTGTTGGGGGTAGGGACCAAATTTCTACTTAGGGTTATACTGATTGTGCATTGCACAACTTCTAGGGTCACCGTGCACCTCATAGTATGGATAGTTACTGTGACAATTTTCTTACAAATGACAGGTGTCTTGAAGAGTGCTTTTATTCCTAATGTACACAAAATTGCTGTAAGTGCTAGCCATGAAGCTGGGTGAGAGGAGGGTGAGTATAGAATACAGAAAAGTATAGATTCCACAAATACTTGATAAGCATCCTACTGTAGGTTAGGCATTTAGCCTGGGAGATACATGATAAACAAGTTGTGCTAAAACATTGCTTTGTCTAGTAAGGATACCAGATAATTCTAATACTGTACTACCTTAGCAGCTAATTACTAGCTCTCAGAGGAAAATGGGTGGGCACTCTTGGGACATCAGGGAATGCTTCTTAGAAGAAGTGATTTCTAAATGGTGGAAATTGGTGGATGAAGTGCCTTTGAGATAAGACCTGAGTGGCTGGAAGTAGAGCCCCAGGGAGTCTGGAAAGGAAGAAGGTGAGAGGGGTGCCTAGATGGAAGTGATCATTAGCCTACTGTAGACTAAGACTTTAAGTGCCCAGTGCCCTTCAGCAGCTTCCTATTAAGTTATTCATTTGAAAAGAAGCAGCTGTCAGATGCCTCATAAGGACGAAAGGGAACAAAAGTTGGAAGTCCTAAACCAGACTATAAGTACCAAGCTCTGTTCCTGGGTCTAGGGACATTCCCAGTGGAGGACTGGAAAGTTACTCTGGTACCCATGCCTCCCAATCCTGGTTACTGCTGAGTGTGAGGAGAGATGGACGTGGGGGAGTTTTGTGGAGGACCACAGAGAAGGGAGGCTCTGGTTGTATGCCTGAAGGTCTTGGCTGACCTTGGGCAGAAATTAGAACTCATACTTCCTGGATGACAGTAGAGGGCATGGCCTGCCAGGGTAGGCTTTGGGAGAGCAAAGATGCAATTCAGTTACCAGAGAAGAATGATTTGGTTCCAAGTTTAGGCTCCGAGGTAGAAGGATGCTTATCCAGGCATTGTAGGACTGTAAAACTACCAGTAGTTCCTAGTCAGGTGTCTGCCTGATTTCCAGGATGAGACACACTTCAGTCGAGAAGTGGACCAGCGGTGACCGGCTGGATCCCCCGCCCGGGTGGGAGGGGGCGGGACGGTCCTGGGAGAAGGGCGGGGGGCGGGGCCAGGGGCCACTTAAGGCGGAGTCCTGGCGTTCTGGCAGCGCCAGAGCCGGGCAGCAGAGACAGGCTGGGCTGGCACTCACCCACGACCCCCCTTCCCTGCTATGATGGTCCACTAGTAGTAGGTTCCAGACCCCCGGGGGCATGTGGCCAGAGCTAGCGGCATCCAGGTGCGCAGAGCTACAAGAGCTCTAGGCACTCTGGGGCAGCTCTGCCTGCTGCGCTCTCTGGTGCCTGTGGAGATGCCCAACTGACAGGCCAGTTAGTGAGGACAAGAACGCTCCCTTTTGGCCCCAGTTCGCTGCATCCATGGCGCTGCTGGCCGGTCTGGTGCCCCTGTGCTGCTTGGCACTTCTGGCGCTGCCGGCCCAGAGCTGCGGGCCCGGCCGGGGGCCGGTTGGCCGGCGCCGCTACGTGCGCAAGCAGCTCGTGCCACTGCTCTACAAGCAATTTGTGCCCAGCGTGCCCGAGCGGACCCTGGGCGCCAGTGGGCCGGCCGAGGGGAGGGTGGCAAGGGGCTCTGAGCGCTTCCGGGACCTCGTGCCCAACTACAACCCCGACATCATCTTCAAGGATGAGGAGAACAGCGGCGCCGACCGCCTGATGACGGAGGTAAGAAGGGACTCTCCCCACCTGCGCCGGGACACCACCAATTCCTCTGTTTTCCTACGGCAGCTCAGGAGGGTGCGGGCTTCACCTACAGAGACCTTAGTCTTAAAGACCTCCCCCCCAAAAAACCCCCTCTGAAAAACAACCCCCTGCCAGCTGGACATAGTGATTAGGAG